AGTTCTTATTACTCTCCAAAGGCCATGATCAGTTGGATCGGTATCCTTATTCAAGCAGTTCTTATTACTCTCCAAAGGCCATAATCAGTTGGATCGGGATCCTTAGTCAAGCAGCTCTTATTACTCTCCAAAGTCCACGATCAGTTGTCATGGCTCTGTTGCTTGCCGTTTTTTTTTCACCAAACTAAATGGTGGTGTAAATTTTTAGGGTTATGTACAGTTTGCATGACCTAGCCCTTGTAAAGTTTCCTCATTTAGATGAGCACATATGATCAAAAGTGTCTCGGTAGTTTCAGCAGCGCCGTCTATATATATATATATATACACACACATATATATATGTGTAGTCCTTCTTTAGCTTTTGTTCTTTCATAATGAAACATTTATAATAATTGTGGTACTGGGCATTTACTTTTTTTTGTGATGGTGAAACTTGGGGTAACTATAAACTATGATGTAACTACCCAAACGAACGTGCGCAAACATTGACTATGGTAACATTGAATGCAGGGTGAAGACTTTGTTAAATTTGAAGGAAACTCATCTGTACATTTGTTAAAATTTTGTTTATAAACACGCACGAACACGAGATATTTTATGAATGTTCCATTAGGTTGCAACATGTGAAGGTGAACAATAGGTTAGATGTTAAACTTAAAAGAAAATCAACGATAATCATAAGCAATGTGAAGCCTGTTTATGAAATACTACGTTCTGTGTGGCTAACGACTATATATATAATAAATTCTCAATCCTTCTACTACATTCTCTCTTCTCCTTTGACCCCTACTTCACAGTCGTAACCTCTTTAACCATTCCTGTATGTTCGAAGGTGAGCAGGTGTCTATTTCAAAGCTAAATCACGTGAACTCTCGTTTAATGATGTATGGAGCGCGTGACCTAGAGGCCGAGACCTCTATGAAACGTATGTATTCGCGGTAGCAGAGGCGAACAATGCTGCATCCTACAAACAGTGGTCATAATTACTGGGTTTATTGACCAGAATCACGTTGACATTTTTGTTAGCAGCGTCCCAGTCATTTCCTCACCACTAAGTATAAAGTCAAATTATAATAATTAACACTGAAAGAAAAATGATGTTGTAAAAACCAGGGTGTTCAGAATTTGAATTTTGACCTTTACTGCCGACAGAGGGCAATCAGCCGTGAGAGTTGTTGGGGCACGGAAACATCACGTTGTATACTAACGTTTTGCCCTTAGACAAGTTGTTTGTTTGGTTTCTGAAAGATATTCTTTTTTCAACAATTAATTTATTTTCATTAAAATAAGTAATCGCTAAGTTTTTAAGCTATTTTCAGTTTCATTTTTACATTGTAAAATGTCAAATGAATTATAATTGTCAAAATTTGATCATAAAGTTACTAATAAAAAAAAATACAGAAATGTACCCTAAACAATAAAATAGGCTGTCAAAACTGGAGGGGTAAGGTTAGTGGTTATCCAAATTAACCTTAGTATAAGAAATAATGTCCTAAATAGACTGAAATTTATCCATTATGAGCGTTCTAAACATGGGGTATTAAAAACTTAACAGGAATGAAAAAGAAAAAAAACAAAGGTGTGCCTTAGTGACAAAAAGACTTTCCATTGCTGTGACAATTACAATTTTTGATGACTGACTTCTATCTACATATTTCTGATGACCGACTTCTATCTACATATTTCTGATGACCGACTTCTATCTACATATTTCTGATGACCGACTTCTATCTACATAGCCGGGTGGTTAGGACGCTCGACTCGCAATCTGAGGGTCGCGGGTTCGAATCTTCGTCCCACCAAAAATGCTCGCCTTTTCAGCCGTGGGGGCGTTATAAAGTGACGGTCAATCCCACTATTCGTTGGTAAAAGAGTAGCCCAAGAGTTGGCGGTGATGACTAGCTGCCTTCCCTCTAGTCTTACACTGGTAAATTAGGGACGGCTAGCGCAGATAGCCCTCGTGTAGCTTTGCGCGCAATTCAACAAACAAACAATCTGTTAAAAATATAAATAAAACACTTAATCCTGCATATTAATAACTTACTTAGCTTTGTAGCTTTTTTGATAGAACCAGTTAATAACTAACTGTTATTGATGGGTCATATATCTATATGTATATATCTTAAACAGCGACTCAAGTTTGACTGACATTTTATACGATGGTGCATCATTTGGTAAGTTACATTTGGAAGTTTACTTTGGAGTAAAAGAAAAAATCTTTTTTTTTTCAAAAATATAAAATTTTTGGTGTCAAAAACACTTTGAAAACTCTTGGCTTCAGACAGAAGATTAAAACTCTAACCTAGCGATTAGTGTACAAGATTTAATTAAACATAATAAAAAATTTACGTCTCTTATTTTTAGCTCGAATCTAAGAACAAACTATGAATTACCATTGCTTGAATAAGGGTGTATTCTTTTAACCAGAAAACATAGTATGTGTATGATTTTTTTTCGTCTTAAGATATTGATTTGCTTCAACTATGAGCTCGCAGTAGATTTAGAGGTTATGATAAGCATTTTATCCAACGACTGGGAGTCTTATGGACAACGTAATGCATCGAATCCCATTGTTAAGCCACAGTTACATTCTCTAAACCGAAATTATAAAATTGATATGCAGAGGCGCTATATAAATACTTTTAAAATAAACTCATTAATTCTTATCTCTTGTCGAAGAAACCCTAAAAAAAAAACTCTCTCTCTTAAGTGATCAAAGAATGAACGTCAATAGGTGACAATGACGTACTGATTTTTTTTTCTTTGTACGAAATGTATAAATGTTAAATAATATATTTTTTATACTAGTTATCTCCAAAATTGAAGTTCACAGAGGTGCATAAGGTACCGAGTGGCATCGTATTTTAACATGTTAAAAGGCTTAACTATCGCACAGTAGTTATAAGCTCTAAGTCTGTTGCGTTGGCGTAGCACACTACACAATGTTTTATCTTCTTCTTTTTGTATAATCCAATATAGGCTTACCATTTCTATTGAGATTGAAATTTTTCATCCAGTTAATAACATCTTAATTTTTTATTCAGAGTGTAAACAGTGAAGTTCTTTTATAATAGGTGTAAATGATCCTCTAAAGTTTGCATTTATTGATAATTTTATCCTTGATCAACGCTCAAACTTCAAAAATGTCGTTTTAAGAACTAGAATGTTGAACCTCATACAAATTGTTGACTTAGGTTAAACAGTTTGTTATGTATGAGGAATTATCTCCACATTGTTGCTGCCGACACGGGCTAGATCTGGTAGTCTTTATCCTCTGATTTTGTTGGGTGTCAATTACTTTTTTTTTTTTTACAGGTGGTTATAACTTATACTTACTTTGGACATAGTAGTTTGATCTGGAAGCCATTGACTTCAGTATGTTTTCAAAATATTTAAGCCAACAAAACTTGTAGGTTAGTCACGCAATCATGAAAAAAAAAATGTCTTGTGGCAGAAAACTGAACACAAGTGTCATCCACTTGTCAGTTCATATGCTGTAATCTCCAACGTGGCTGAAGTTATCACTTAGGCCATTATCTATATAATGGTATTCTTTTGATAAGCCTGAGGTCACATTAAGCTTTCTTAAATTCTTGGCTTGCTGAAGGTCGATCTTGAAAAAACTTGAACCTGTTGTTCTGCTCCAGTTAGCTAAGAAGTTTCGAGTTTGTTGCTCATGATTATCAACCTTATTCGATTATTTAAACTTTAAGCGATTACTGGACTAACACGTGCATTCAAATGTTCTTATTATGAATGGAATGAGTATAAACCGATAATTTTTTTCACTTGTGTATATTTTTGTGTAATTTGTCGTATTTCTGTGTGTTTTGTTCAAATAATATTGTCTTCCAGTGGCTCAGAGATAAGTTTGAAAACTTATAATGCTATAATTCGGGGTTTGGTCTTTACGGCTAACATTGAAACACATTTTGCGTCATTAACTTAAAGTCAGTGTCAATATTTTAAGAGCTTGACCTTTTAGCTCAGTGATGAGTTCTTGCTTGGTTTTTGAGAGGTACTAAGTTCGATTCCTGATAATGGACCACCATGGACATAGCATATGTTAAACATTTGTCAGGAGTTCAATTTTTAAAGAGAACCCATCCCTTCTTCTAGGTATGTTCGGATATTTGACCTTTATGTCCAACATTAAACGTGTCACTTAATTTCCTTATGTCCGACCGTTTCAATTGCTTCAGGGTTTTCGTAAGGATGGATTAAATAATTACTAGCTACTGTTTATTTCAACGTCCATGAACCTTGAAATACAAAATACAATTTCATGTTATTTAAACATTTAATGTATTTTACTTCCTGTTCCAATCAGAATAAGATAAACGTGTGTCAGCATTTACATCATAATTGCAAACGAACATTTAAAATCACTGTTTCTTTTTTTTGTTTTTTTAGAACTTCCGAGAACAGTCGATTGATGGATCCAGCTTACCACTTCTGAGTGAAGATCATTTAAAAACGTATCTAGGGATGAAACTTGGACCTGCATTAAAACTTCGGTCAACAGTAGCCAAAAAAATAGGACACTGTGTAGTCTGTATGCATTGCATCCACTGTCATTCGGAGGAATACGAAAAACAAAACGAATGGTCAACATTGGGAAAATAACATTAAGAACATCAGCACGTGGAACAGCATTATTCGTCTAAATTACAATATAAAAACTTAAAAAGAACCTATTATACAACACAAAACTCGCCGATTATTGAAGATTGAAGTGTGTCGTGTGAGACGATTGGTACAAAATAATTAAGACAATCTTCATTCGGTGATAAAACTTACCAGGGCCTTCCAAACTGAACAAACAGCCAATAGAATATCACCGATGTGGAACCTTTTAAAGATACATGGAACACTTAGACTGTACACGGTGACCAACTTTATACTAACGAACATGTTTTTGTTCTGCCTCTCAACGTTGTAAGTTCAAACCAGGATTCAAATTCGCGTTTATTAAACAAAATTTGCGTTAATTCTATAACCGCAAAACAAGAGGGAGACGTCTTTCATGAGTAGACAAAAACGTTATAAAAAGGAGAACTGATACGTTGCGAAAAAAGTGGAACTGTTTTTTACGATATATGAAAATCTGATTTATAATGAAGGGGCGTTATAACTGTTTCTCTCTCTCTTCCCCCACCCCCATTTTGTAAAATATTATTCTTACACTTAGTATATACTTTTTTAAGAAACTTGATCGAAGTTTGACGTGAATGGTGGTCTGATTGAAGTATGGTACAAATATTACCGGTGTATCTATATAAAAAGTATAATTTATAGAAATGTTTAGATATTATAGTAGTATTGTATGTTTACTTTCAATTGTGAAATTAAGAGAAGGTTGTGTATATAGATATATTATTGACTGCTTGATTTAATTGTAAGAAAAACTGCACAGAAAATCTTTGTCGGTTATTCCGTAAGTGTCCATAATATTTTTGACAAATAGAACATTTTCGTCTCGACTGTATTTTCACGAGAAACAACAAGTAGCGTTCCTAGGACAGGTAAATGTTACATAATTTTATTTGCTTGGAATTATTGTCTTTCAACATCTTTCTGTTTTTTTTGTTTTATTAAGGTTTGGTTTCGGGAAAAACTTTATTAGTGATAACCACGGGCAAAGTGACACCACATCTGTAAGTGCAAAAAAAGGCCTAACGTGAATTAAGCCTACTTCTCACTTATACATATGGCGTAGAACTTTATGAATGGCCATAGTAGAAGTATCCTTTCTTCAGTTCTCAGGAACGAATATGTTGGCCCCGTTATTATGTATTCAAGCTAACTCAGCCTTTCCAAAGACAGTATTCGTCAAGAAATGAAACTGTAAAACCGGTATAGAGCTTTTATACTGGTGTCAACGAGTCCAACTCGTCACAGTATTGTGTTCATTATAATGTATGGTTGTATTAACTGTGATATACATTGTATGAAATTTTGTGCTGTTCCAGCTAAAATTTTCGCATAAACGTATGGTTTCAATAGGTGATTTATTTAATTTCTTTTCCTTATGGTGTTTTTTTTTTTTTTTTTTTTACTGTCATGTTTTAAGTTTTGGTTTTGTTAAGAATAAGATATGTAACTGTTGTATGTATCTTAGCTGAGACGAGAGAGACAGAACCCCTTACTACCATTATGACAGATTATCAAAAAATAGAGAAAAGATTAAAATTTTTTATCGTCTAAAAGATATTTATAAAATGTTTTTGTGGAGAAGTGCTTACTTTCTTTGATTTCAATGTGTTGTTTATAATCAAAACATGCAATTTAACTCAGTAGTATTGTAAACTGAGAATAGCGTCCACAAAGATGTTCCGTTGGAACTTGACAAATTATCGAGTGCAAAGTAGGCCTAAAGAGAGAGAAAGTGAAGCCTACTTTTATCCTATTAAACGTTAGCATTTCGAGACTAATTTATTTGAAAGTCATTCAGAAACCTTCACTCTAAAAAGTCTCTAACTGCCGAACAATGAATATAACAAAAAATCATAAGTAAAATTCATATCACGTTACATTCTCCAACTGCGCATGCCCATGTACATATTTCGACTTCTCAACTTCAAGAAATAAAGATAACATAATGTAATGATTTTGAAGAACATATAAAATTATTGCTTTATTGGAAATGGACTTTTTAACCTAAATAACAACTTATGTGCAAGGGGGTTAAATATCCAGGTCGGATACCCCCAGGATTCAAGTATAGCTGTGCTTGATCTACTAACCAGTTGGAAGACAACCAATCAGCAGTGACTGTTAACTGAATAGCAGGATTGACTGCCACTTTTATAACTCGCCCATAGCTGAAAGTATGAAGCGTATTCAGTGTTACCACCTCTGGAAACCCTCGTTTCCTCGATACGAACCCAACACATTCGATAATTTCTACCTTATAATGTGATTCAAAAGAAAACGTTGCATTTTGCATAAGATAAATTTATAGATTTGGACTCTGAATTTTATACTGATGAAAACAACAACAAAAAAAAGCGTTTGAACTACTGACAAAGGATGCTAATCTTAATTAACCTTCTAAATCATGAAATAAAATTACGTTTGAACTATTAACGAAAGGGTGCTAAGCCTAATTTACCTTCTAACTCATAAAATAAAACAAAATTCCGGGAATCAGTAGAAACACTACTAAGATATGAATTGGTTTAATAACGGTTTTTTTTGGGGGCTCCAAATGCGTTCTTAAAAGATTTGACCCTGGTAAAATGAACTGTGGTGAGGAAATGAATATGCTGGCTCGTATAAATCATTCGGTAGTTTTTATATTATATTTTCATTCTTAAGCTTCAGGCCTAAGTCATCAGAGATGTAACAACGTTAAACTGTGGTCAATTTAAAATAAACGTTCAATATAAGTGATTATATTGTTTCCCCCCAGCTCTTCCATAGTCTGACCCCCCGCGAATTAATATAAAATCCGATTTGAAATAAAGTAAAACGGGTTATGTTTTTCCAAGTAAAACACTTGACAAAAAAAAGATATCACCACTGTTTTTCCAAGTAAAACACTTGACAAAAAAAAGATATCACCACACACAAAAAAACAAAACATGATGAATGCATTTTTGGAACTAAAATTGTTTTGAGTTATTCTCATTGTATTGTGCCTGTGTTTTATTTTTGCATGTAAAATATATATATATATATATTGTTCCTGGCATCGTGATATATGAGAAGGACCTGTTGCTTCTGAGAATTTTTGAACTTTGATTCCAAAGATACTTGGTATATTTACAGAGTGTATTGAGAAAGGCCCGGCATGGCCAGGCGACTAGAGCGCTCGACTCGTAATCTGTGGGTCGCGGGTTCGAATCCCCGTCACACCAAACATGCTCGCCCTTTCAGCCGTGGGGCGTTATAAAGAGTAGCCCAAGAGTTGGTGGTGGGTGGTGATGACTAGCTGCCTTCCCTCTAGTCTTACACTGCTAAAGTAGGGACGGCTAGCGCAGATAGCCCTCGTGTAGCTTTGTGCGAAAGCCCTAACAAAGAAACAAACGTATGGAGAACAGTGTCGCCCTCACCGTAAGCAGACTGAACTACCTTTATATGTGTGTGTGTGTATGTGTGTATACAAGCGATATTTAAGTGGATTCCAAAGTAGAGATTCGACGACGAATTTTATAAGCTGTATATCGTGTAGTATGGGCTCTAATAAATCGGTTATCTTTGTGATTATAGAATGTTCTTGTATTATTATATATTACTTTTCTGTGTTTTCACACCTTTCCGAGCCCTACATAGTCCACACGATTTTGTGAAGGGTCATAAGTACTCTCTTAACATTGTCTCTGCTCAGAAACGTATTTGTAAAAAAAGAAACTTTGACTGAAATTATTCGATCATGATCGTTTATTTTCATTCCAAACATCCTCGTACGACACTCGAATAGACCGTGTATAAAATCATTTAGTAATTTTGTGAATAAAAAAAACAAAAAAACATACCTTTACATGAATTCGATTGATTTTTTATTGATTTCTTTACTTAGAAATAATGTCAGTAATAAACTGGCATTTATTTGAAACATATAACTCAATGTTTAGTTTGAGGGCTTAAAAGGCTAAATATCAGGTTTCGATACCCGTAGAAGGCAGAGCACTGATAGCCCATTGTGTAACTGTGTGCTTAACAAAAACCAAACACAAAATGAAACATTGGTTATCATATTGGTTTGAAGTTAAAATGCTCGTGACAGGTATTTCAAGCGATCACGTCATGGCATCCGGGTATGTGAATTCTTACATTACGTCACGTTGTAAACCTATCTATGATACAACATTGTAGTTTGACAACTTTTAAAGGCATTGGTGTGAAAAAGTTCATACTAGAAATCAGCAGTTAATAGTTTTTAATTATTTTACCGAAATGAAACAAAACTTTAGGACTTGCGTGAAATGTTTCAAGAAATGTTGCGATCACTTATGAGTGTGAACATTTATATCCAACTAAGTTTATCAGTACCCCCGAACTTAAATCTGCTTTTTTTTTAGAATAAAGCCACATTGGGCTATTTACTGTGTTCACCACGTGGAATCGAACCCCATATTTCAGTGTTGGGAGTCCATATACACCAGTTTGATTTTCGATACCTCGTTTTAAGACATATCTTCTATCACGTATTTGAAACTAACTAACTTTTATGTTGATCGGTTGTTTTGTTTTTGCTTTACATTTTTTCTTGGTTGCACTACTTCTAAATGTTGGTCGTTGGTTGATTGCAATATTATGCACTCCGTTTCAGTCCATACTATTAAAGTTTTGAAGAACGTTAGAAAGCTAAATGTAATCCCTACTGCGCAAATGGAATTGAAATAAATAAAAAAAGTCTGTTTTATTTTTGTTCTTTATTTTGCCTGAACTCCTTTAGGCGCTAAGATGGGAATTCCCCAATTGTTAAAGACACGCCTTAAAGTCGAATAGACAGATGTTCGCTACATCTTGGCCTACTTCGTACCCGTACGCAGCAATAACTTTGACACTTAATGCACTTCAATTTTTAGATCAAATATGTTTGTTGTTAAGCGTGAAGCTACACAGCGGTCAGTTTGTGTGGTCGGACAAGTAAAAAATAAACTTTGGTGTCAAATTAATAAAATAAAATTATAACACTGAAGCAGTCGAATAAGTGGAGTTGTTAAAA